TTCTCTGACCCTCCACCTTACCAAACATGATTTCCTTCTCCAGCGACTGGTCCCTCCTGAAAATATGTCCGAAGTATGAAAGACAAAGTTTGGCCATCCTGGCCTCCAAGGAGCACTCTGGCTGCACTTCTTCCAACACAGATCTGTTGGTTCTTTGGCCCAGATGGATGAGGTGCTAACTAATTATGTCCCTATATTTCAGAGTGGCATAGCCCTCAGAATCACAGCAACTCAAGCCACCACAGCACGACAGACAGACAAGTGGTGCTCATGGAAGCAGCAGTCAAGAAATCAACCATATTGCAGTGTTAAAGACCAAAGATGCCACTTTGAGGAATAAGGTGTGTCTGACCCAATCCATGGTATTTTCAATCATTTCATATGAATGAGAAAGCTGGACAATAAATAAGAAAGATCAGAGAACAACTGATGCATTTGAATTATGGTGCTGGAGAAGAATATTTAACTGCCATGGATGCCCATAGAACAAACAAATCTGTCTTAGAAGGAGCACAGCCAGAATGCTCCTTAGAAGCCAGGATAGTGAGACTTAGTTTTACGTACTTTGGACATGTTATCAGGAGGAACCAGTCCCTTGAGAAGGACATCATGCTTGGTAAAGTAGAAGTTCAGTGAAAAAGAGGAAGACCCTCAATGAGATAGACTGACACCGTGCCTGCAACAATGGCCTCAAACATAACAATTGTGAGGCTGCATAGGACCTGAGTGTTTCTCTCTATTGTACAGAGAGAGGGTCACTGTGAGTTAGAACTGACTGGATGGTACTTAACAACGATAACAAGGGGCAGGGAAGAGAGGAGCGCATACCCCAGAGCCCAAGTGCTTTGGCAAGAGTTCCTAGGAAAGCGTGCCATCTCAGTCTCATAGAATTGGTGCTCAAAGGTGCTCCTTAACGTCCCAAACTTGGTCAAAGTATAGTTAGGATTATAAGTAGATTCTCTGGGATTCCTGACTGTGCTCTCAGTTTTGAATCAAGTAAGAAAGTCTTCGGGCTGGCCAGACTGAGAAAGAGGAACCCAGCTAGGATGTGGTTTTACAATCAGAGGAAGCAAATACCAGCAGTGCTGACTTGATCATGTTGGGTGATGTGTGGTCCCGCTGCTCAGAGACCCTGGGCCAGCTGGTGAAACCACCAAAGCTACTTCTCTCTTAAACTAGATATTTCCTTTCAACGATTTTCAAAAGTCATTTAAATTTAGAAAAGATTCATCGGTTTGACTGCATCGACACTGAAAAACATCTATTAATTAAAAGAGACCATGTTATGTTGCGTGTCATTGAGTCCATTCTAACTCGTAGAGACACTGTATAGGGTTTCCAAGGCTGTACATAGCGGAAGCAGAAAGCCTCACTTATTTCCCACAGAACTGCTGGTGGGCGCGAACCACTGACCTTGTGTTTCAAAGTCCAGTACTTATCCTTCAGAGCCACCACACTCCCCAAAGACACTATAAACAAAGTAAAAAGATGACTCTGACTAGAAGACACTTCCAACACAGGAATTGAATCCAGAATACGTAAGGAAATCCTACAGTCCAGTAAGAAAAAGACAACCCATGGGAAAATGGGCAAAGCAAGCAATTTGCAAGAGATAAATGTGTACAGATAATAAGGGAAATGCAAATAAAACAACAGGAGACCATTTATTTTATACCTAGCATATTAGCAAAAAGTAAGAGAGTGTGCTGGCAGAGCTAGGGAAATTTTAAACACTGTCCAACAGTGGTACAATTGCTAATGGAGGATACCACTTTGGAAGACAGCTTGGCAGTACTGAGTTCAGTTCATGACGTGTAGAACCAACAATATGGGAACAAGAGTGCTTCCGTGGTAGAGTGCTCATCTTCCCTGGAGGAGACCAGGGTTCAATCCCTGGCCAATGCACTTTGTATGCAGCTACCACCCATCTGTCGGTGGACTCCTGCATATTGCTATGATGCTGAACAGGTTTCAGTGATGCTTTTAGGTTACGATCAACTAGGAAGAAAGGCCTGGCAAATCTATTTCTGAAAATTAACCAGTGAAAACCTAATGAGTCAAAAGAGTGTAGACAGCATTTCATTCTGCTGCACATAGTGTTGCTGTGAGATGAGGTTTGTGGCGCTGCAGGAGAATGCACTGGGCTGCAAAGTTGGTGGTTCAAACTCATCAGGTGCTCCTTGGAAACCCTATACAGGGTCTCTATGAGTCAGAACCAACTCGACAGCATTAACAACAACATAACCTATGACCTGACAATTGAGAGATAAACCCTGGACCTATGCTGTCTTAATTTTGTAGACACCAGCCATGTGTGACCCTGGAGCACTTGGAATGTGACTAGTACAACTGCGGAAGCGGAGTTTTGAAATACTCTATTAAACACTTCCATTAAAAAATTGACTCTCAATCTCATTATTAGAAAGCTTTTGAGTGTGTTTGGAACAACTTGGGTCTGTGAGCCAACATTTTCACCTGAAAATGGTATGAAATCTACATGCAAATCAAGTCTTTCTGATGATAGCTCAGCATCTGAATTGCAGTGTGTTAAATACACACTGGATTTCAGGGGAAAAAAAGAATGTAAAATCATTTCATGTGTGGGTTTTCTACATTGATTACATGCTTTGTTGTTAAATACTGTGGAGTCGGTTCTGACCCATAGAGACCCTGTATAGGGTTTCCAAGGAGCAGCTGGTGAGCGTGAACTGCCAAACTTGCAGGTCAAACGACTTTGCAGTCGGGCGCGTTAACCCACAGAGCCACAAGAAGCTTGGTGGTGGTGGTTATGTGCCGTGGAGTCGGAACCGACCCATAGCGACCCTGTACAGGGTTTCTGAGGCTGTAAATCTTTACAAGAGCAGAACGCCTCATCTTTCTCCCACAGAACAGCTGGTAGTTTCGAACTGCTGACCTTAAGGTTCGCAGCCCGATTTGTAACCACTACGCTACCAGAGCTCCTTCACAGGAAGCTTAAGTAACCACAATTTGGACATGTTGGGTGAAAGATATACATTATTAAAATGACTTTTACCTGTGTCTTTTGACTGTTTTTAAGTGTTGTTGTTGCTAGTTACCCTTGATTAGCTGTGACTGGTGAGGACGTCATATTTAACAGAACAAGGTGTTACCTGGTCCTGGGCTATTATTGATAGCTTTGAGCCCATTGCTTACTGCGTCAGTCCAGATCCTAGAGAATTTCCCTCATTTTTTTGTTGGCCCTCAATCACCTAGGATGCCCTGCTCCAGTGATTGGTCATTCCTGAATGACGTGTTCAAAATAAGTGAGCTGGAGTCTCACTAATAAAGGAAACATTCTGGCTGTATTTCTTCCAAGACTGATAAGTTCATTCTTCTGGCAGCCAGCAATTTTCGCCAACGTCATAATCTGAATGCATCCGTTCTTCAGCCTTCTTTTTCCATTGTCTTGACCTCGCATGTGTGGTTCACATAGTTCAGTTGAACAACACTGACCTTGACTTTCACTGAACACAAGAAGATACAAATATACATTGTAGCATTGTTTGTAATAGCACACAGAAAACAGAAGAATGCTTTCAGGTTCAACAAGAGAGGGCGTGGTGTGCCATGGAGTGAGTTCCGACTCATTGACCCCGTATAGGGTTTCCGAGGCTGTAAGTCTTTACGGGAGCAGAAATCCTCGCCTTTCTCCTGCAGAATGGCTGACAGTTTCGAACTGCTGACCTTAAGGTTAGCAGTCTCACACGTAACCACTACAGTACCAGAGCTCCTTAAGAGAGGGGCAGTGTGGTTTATTTATACAGTGAAGTTTCATACAAGAATCAAAATGAATGAACTAGAGCTACATGTATCGGCATGGATAAAGCTGAATGCCTTGATGTTAACAGCAACTCAGTGCCCTCTAAGCTTCTCCTTTCCCTGTCCTCCCACCCCTGGTAATCACTAATAATCTTTAGTTTTGAGCTCTATATTTGCTTACTTCGTATAAGTGAGACCATACAGTATTTGTCCTTTTGCAGCTGATTTCTTTTGCTCAGCGTGTTGTTTTCAAGGTTCACCCATGTCCTAGCCAGTATCAGAGCTTCATTTCTCCTTATGACTGAGTCATTGTCTTTATGGATCACTTTTGTTTACCCAATTATTAGTTGATGGACATTTGGGCTGTTTCCACATTTTTTGGCTCTAATGAAAAGTGCCACCATGAACATTGGCGGCAGTGGTTACGTGCCACCCAGTCAGTTCTGACTCACAGAGCCCTCTGGAGGGTTTCCAAGGCTGTACATCTTTAAGAGAGCAGAAAGCTCCATCTTTCTCCTGCAGAGCGACTGGGAGAATCAAACTACTGACCTTGTCGTTAACAGCCCAGTTTATAATCCACTAAGCTACCAGGGTTTACAATGAACATTGTTGGTAAGTGCCATCAAGTTGGTTTCGACTCATAGCAACCTTGTATAGGAGTTCCGAGGAGCGGCTGGTGGGTTTGAACTGCTGAGCTTGCAGTTCAAACCTACCTTGCAGTCCAGTGCATTATCCTGCAGCACCACACTGTATGTGTCACTTGTTTCAAGTATCTTGAGAATATACCTAAACTTATTGTTAAAACCATCTGGTTTCTGACTATAAAGTATCAAAAAAAACTGCAACCTTCTAATGCCCTGGATTATCTGACCAGCGTTCCTGATGTCCCCTGGCCTTGCCACCTGGTAGCCTTGGCCGGACCTCCCTGATGTGTATGATCCGGGGAAAAAAGGAGTGGTTGTGTTTGTTGGCGTCTTGGTTTGGATGCACTGCCTTGAGGGATACACACAGAGTGCCCCATATGTGATGAGAGGCAGCTAAGTTGGGGCATGGCCTGGGGTATTAGGAGCCAAAAGCCACCCGGGGCAAAATGCGGCCCCTAGGGAAGCCAGCTTTGTGTGTATATGAGCTGGAACCAGTCCTGAACCTTCGGCTGCCATGGATTCCTGACTTGCCCAGAATACCTGTGGTTTCTCATTCTGCCTTTCCTTCCTTTTCAGGGCAACTGGCACCTGAGAGGTAAAACAATGCCCCCCGGGGTTGACTGCCCTATGGAATTCTGGACCAAGGAGGAGACCCAGAGCGTGGCAGTTGACTTCTTGCTGCCCACGGGTGTCTATTTGAATTTCCCTGTGTCTCGCAATGCCAACCTCAGTACCATCAAGCAGGTAGGACCTCTACCTTAAACTAGGTCCTCAGAACTTGAAACTCAGCAAGAAAGAGAGACAGTAGACCCTCCCACTCACGTGCATTGTTTCTCATATTTGGGAGCCTCAGATATGAATTTTAAGAGCTACAAAAGTACACCCAAGAATAGTTTAAAAACTTGCCGTTGTTTTCTGCATATCATTCCAAATTCAGTCTTTTCTACTTGAACAGTGTATTTCTCCTAACTCGACTGCAATGGAAGTTTCAAGGTGCTGGTTTCAGTGGTGGTCTTGCCTTCCACTGTTGCCATCATTGTTGGGACCACACACCCTCCATGGCTACCTACGTAAGAGTTTTACTGGCCTTTGCCTGTAGTGCTGGCTCCATAGTAAATATCTTTGGAAAGAGTTTTTGTTGAATAATTTTGTGAATTATTGAGTAAAGGGGAAAAAAAATCTGGATGGTATTTGGTTGAGATTGTCATGTTACCATACAAGGAGTTTGTGCCCTACAAGGTATGAAGTTGAATGGGCCTTGCTTTGTGTTGCCAGAGAGTAAGAGCTGATCTCAGAACTTTACAAGGGATCATTGGGAGCAGAAGAGAAAAAAGAGAGACCAAGGGCCATCCATGAATTTTTATCTTTCCTTGTGGCCTAGGCTAGGTTCTCTAGAGAAGCAAAACCAGTGAAACTTATGTGTATATATGTAAAGAGAAGTTGGAGTCCTGATGTGGCACTGTGTGTGGACTGCAAAGTCGGTTTGAACGGCAAGGTCGGTGGTTCAAGCTCACCAGCCACTCCTTGGAAATCCCTATACAGTGTTGCTATAGGTTGGAACCAACTTGATGGCACTTAACAACAATAACAAAGAGAAGCTTATATCAAGGCAATTGCTCATAATTGTAGAGTCCCAAGCCCCAAGCAGAAAAGACAGCAAATTTTGTCCTGTGTGTCCATTATATTGAGAACAGGCCACACATACCTTTCAACTGATTGGCTGCTTATAGCCAATCATCATAAAGTTAACTATGCCTGCTCAGAGCCAATCATCAGAATAGAATTAACTATGCTTGTATTTGATTTCACCATGGAGGGGAAAAGCACCTCTCAACTGCCAAACCCCTGGGAAACCAGGACCAGTCAAGTTAACACAAAACCTTCCAAAAGTATTTTTTTAAAACTTAAGTCTACCTTTTCCTGTTACAAGAGTAATTGGATATGGTAAGGGACCAGTCTCTGGAGAAGGACATCATGCTTGGTAAAGTAGAGAGTCAGTGAAAAAGAGGAAGACCCACAACAAGAGGGGTTGACACAGTGGCTGCACTAATTGTGAGCTTGGTGCGGGACCAGACAGTGTTTCCTTCTAACGTACATTGGGTTGCTATTGAGTTGGAACTGACTCAGTGACACCTAACAGAAACAGTAATTGAACAACATGGTCAACAGTAACTGATGGGACTGAACTGTACATGTGAGCAATGTTGAAATGGCATATATTTTGTGGCATATATATATGTATCACAACAACAGCAGCAAAAAGTAATTTAGCCACAATAAAAATTTTAGAAAATAAGGAAAAGTAGAAGAAAACGTGCTCTGTAATCCAGCCACATATGACACCATAATTTACACTTTGGCTGTTTCCTGTTTTCTTTTCTTTTATTGAAGGTGCCTTGGTGGTGGGGTGGGTTAGGTGTAGGGGTGCTAACTGCAAGACCAGCGTTTCAAGCCCACCACTAGATTTCTATTTTCGGAAACCCTATAGAGGGTTGGCATGAGTCCGAATCAACTTGATAGTGGTGGATTTGGTTTGGTTTGTTTCTTCTATGTTGTTGTTGTTAAGTGCCATCGAGTCGGTTTTAACTCATAGCGACCCTGTATAGAGTGTCCAAGGAGCAGGTGGTAAGTTTGATCTGCTGACCTTGAGGTTCAAACCGACCTTATGGGTCAGTGATTACCCTACAGCACCACACCAGGACTCTAT